GTTTATAATTTTCCATTTTACTTTTGGTTTTTTACTCATTTCCTTCAAATGCCGAAAATATTTAGATAGAGATGTCTGATTTCTCTTATTAATATTGTTGAAAGAGCTTTTATGCTCTCTCCACCTGGTTTTAAATTCATTCTCCGTAGACTCAACGTATATCATATTAGTGTGGAGTTCGAATTGTTTCTTGGCTTTGGCCAACATTTTTATTATTTTAGTCCAGTTTGACAAAGTCTTACCGGACGACTGCCTTTTATTTCTGCTTATTTCTTTTCAGTTCTCGTTATGAAAAGTACGTCTTTTTAAGTTTTTTTTTTTTTTTTTTTTTTTGATTTTTCCACCTTTTTCAGTTTATACCCTCCCTCGTTTTTTATTTTCGAATTAATTTTTTTTTTTTTTCTTTAGCGGCTTCGGCCTCATTTTTTTTTCTTTTGTTTGGTTTGACTAGTTACAAACAAGACTTTTGCATTTCTTTACCATTTAATTTATTTAGCGACTTCGGCCGCAAGCCATTATTTTTTTTTTTTTAGTTTGGTTTGACTAGTTTCAAACCAGTCTTTTGTATTTCTTTACTTTTTCTTCTGTATTTTACATTTTAAGTTAATTGTTGACAAAAAAGCAGGAGTTTTTTTTATTGTTTTTTCTTTAATTTTTTCTCTTCGGCAGCTTTTGGGCGCCATTTTGAATTTGTAAAGTCTTACCAGACTATTTATTTTATATTCTTTCTTTTATTTACTTATTTTGAGCTAGTTTCTTTTTATTTATTTCTAATTTGGGTTAAACTTTTAGTTTTCCCAGTTTTTTATTTACCAGCCTTTATTTTAAAGTTTATTCCTTTTTGTATTAGTATTTATAAATAGTTTATTGTTTTATTTACTGGTGTATCCAGGCTTTTTGTTTTTTTCTCTTTTTATTTGTTTAAATTCTACTTTTAGAAGAATCAAATTTTTGTGCTTTTGAGTTTTATTTTCTATTATTTTTCCCAATCCCAACTCCTTTCCCTTTTGAACAATATATCAGTAGACCCGCTGGGTGGAGTTTTTTCCTTTTTAAAAATGGCCGACGATGTGAGTTGGTCGGGTGTTAAAAAGGACTTTTGGGGGGCGGCTGCTAAGGCTGATCCCCCGGATAAATTAAAATCTAAAAAACCGGGAAAAGCTACACCTAATATACCTGTAGAAAAGAACAAGGAAAAGAATGCTACAAGCGAAGAAGAGGAGACCATACCGGTCTCAGCTAATAATTGTAAAGACCATGTGCCGAAGAAGGCACAATCAAATTCGACAGCCGGGGAATCGCCCTGTTGCTGGAAGACCCCGCCAAGTTGTATTGTGAATATCGCGGAGTTCTTGGAAAAGGCTAAGGGCTACGCTCATCTTGTAAAAGAAGATGGGCTCTTTGAAGACGTCCAAGAGCTTAAGGTATTCGAAAAGAGAATGGTGTCGGTCTTCGTGGTAGACAAGCGTACGCGAAAAATTTGTTGCTCCACGAAAGACACAGTAATCAAATCACTTTTGTCCCTGGGGATAAAACCCCAAAGAGTAATAAAAGGTTCTAGGTTTTTCATGTGGGACGTACTGCTGCCCACAGGCGAAAATTGCCTAGAAATGGCTAAAAAAAGAACTGATCACAAAGGACCTCATTCTAAGAACAGAATATGAGGGTCGGCGAAGGACCAGTGTGGTCGTATTTGAGGTCCCTCCTCAAGGTAACGGGAGAGCACCTGGCTGCATTTTTAATGCAGCACGGCCAAATTTTAGGGGCTCTTTCTGACAACCTGAACGGGGATGGACTTTTGATATTATGCTTGATCAGTCGGCCTTCTTGTCCATCCACAACTGTTTGAATTTTTGCGGCCGGAAAATGCCAGTCATAGTGACCGGTAGAAATCCTACACCTCTCCTCCTCCTGCCCAGGGAAGAAGGCCCCCTGGAGTTCCGGCCGCTGGCGACCAAAACCCACCTCTGGCCTAGACTGTTAAATCCGCGGCGCCTGTAACAGGCCTACCTGCGAAACGAACCGGTGAGGAAAATCCCTCGGTTGAGTCTTCGCCCATATTACCCCCAAAACCAACACCTCCCACAAGTGTGGTAAAGGAGAAGGAAGAGGGGGAATGGCGTGTCAGAGGTAGTGTCAGACAAGATCCGAACAGCGGGGCCTCTGTCCCAGCATGACTCCAGGGATATAAACACCTACAGTCTCATTCCCACCACCAGCTCTGAGGTCGACGCCCCGGCGTCTTATGAAAAATCTGCAACAACCATCAAAAAGATGAATGAGCCAAGTTGGCAGAAAATCTTGGACTTGAAGAAGTTAAAAGAAAAAATTGACGCAAAGTCGCTGGGGGCGCCTTGCCCCTCATCCTCTGCCCCGTTTTCCCCTTCATAAAAAAAATCATTTTCGAAACCACTTCCACCCAAATCACTTACAAGTTCTGCGGCAAAACAGTTAACACAAACAGACAGCCCTTCAAATAAGCCTCCCCCTTTCAAGACCCCCTTCTGGCATGACTCCCTCCTACACACCTATATGCACTCCTACTCCAACACCTTCACAATCCCTTCAAAAAAAGAGGACCAGATGAGGACAAGTTGTTGCGGAGAGCAGGAAGAAAAAAAGCAAACTACCATATCTCTCAGAGGAAGATGTCTGCCGCGTATCCCGGGAACATGCAGAAAGAGTTTTCGGGCAGACCCGGAATCCGAAGCCGTTGAGAGTGCTATGGAATTTCAGGCATATCAATGGGGTCGACGTTGAAGTGCCCGAAAACTTTAAAGATGCAAAAAGAGTCCTGACCGTCGTTCGATCTGGCCCGGGTACACGGGAGATTTGGGGCATGATAGAGGAGGCAAACGCGTCCCTGAAATTGGTGCCCCCAGCGGCCTATTTACTGGAGCCGGAGCTACATGAAATAAATGAACAGTGTAAAGGTAGGATCCCTGTTTTTGTTCACCCATCCCTTTATAGAGCTCTGAAACTAACATGTCCTGCGGACATCGGCGGCTTGTCTCTTGATGATACCGTCGAAATTGAGATGGCGTCAAGTTCAGTGGGACGGGCTGTCGGTGTCCTCACCCCGGCCATGTTCTATCCTGGAGGACAACCCTAATTGATTTGATAATGGCACTCTGGTTGGCTAGTGTGAATGCCCGAGGCCTGAGGTCGGAGTCTCGATGGGTGAGGCTTTCTCACGACCTTCAGACCTTAGGGGTGAATATATGTTGTGTGAAAGAGACCCGTTTTTCTTCTCGCGATTATGAAGGCATTCTATCTAAGGGGTTTACTCTTTATTCAGCATCTTTTGATGGACGCTCGAGGGGTGTCTCTTGGCTGGTGAGCAAGTCTTTGAAGGCTGCGTGTGCTCTTGTCTTCGCAGATCCGGCGGGCAGACTTTGCGTGCTGGATGTTACCATAAAGAATAAGGCTCTGCGTCTCATTGGGGTTTATGGGCCCAATGTCCAGGCTGAGTGGCCTGCTTTGTTTCGGCAGATGGGGCCGTTTATGACGACATCACGTCGGGTAGTTTTAGCGGGGGATTGGAATGCCATCCTTGACCCCGACATAGATCGTATAGGGTCAAATTCAAATTCGAGTACTAACAACTGGAGCGTGAAACCTTTTCGCGACTTTCATCAAGACCTTAACTCATAGAGCCTTGATGATCTGCAGCGAACAATATTTGGATGAAGAATTGGATTTTATCCGCTGCACTCTATTAAAAAATGGATATCCTAGTGATATTCTTGACAGTGTCATGCGTGATAAAATTATTAATTTTCGAAAGGAAAAACAATACTTAGTTCAGAAATGTCCTATTTACTTGCAGCTTCCTTTTATTGGTTCCCGGGGCGAGCTTGTGGCTAGGCGGGTCTTGTCTGCCGTCAATCACTGCTATTTTTCTGCTCAACTAAGGATTCATTTTGCGACTCATTCTGCGTTTTCCGCTATGCGTAAGGGTCCTCTTCCTCCCCATCATGCTTCTTCCGTGATATATTCTTTTAAATGTGGTTGCGGTAGCAACTACATAGGAAGGACTTCCCAACGTTTAGATTGTAGGATCAGGCAGCATGTCCCATTGCGAGTTCTTAATCCGGCTGCTCGTAAGAGCCACTTGGTTAATACTTCCGGGTCAGCGATCACTGAGCATTTAATAAATTGCAGGGATTGTGCGAAGAACTTCAGTCCGAATTGGTTTACTGTACTGTCCAGTTCGCACTCTCCATTTCATTTGAGGGCACTTGAGTCTCTGTATATTCGGTCCAGGGAGCCGTCTCTGTGCAAGCAAAGAGACTGTCTCCTTGGGATTCACGTTATTACACTCTAGTGTCTATCATAATTTCCCCTCACATTTTTTCATTATGCCTTTAGGAAATAATTTGTATCTATTCCTTGCAATATATATATATATATATATATATATATATATATATATATATATATCCTGTAGCATACCTACAGACGATAATTTTTATATAACGTTTCTTGTACAAAGCTGGTAGTACAATTATCAATTCTTCAGGCAGGAATATATATTTTTCATGTGGGAATATATTTGTCAGTTAAATTTATCGACCTTTCCCTCTTTGAATATTTCGTGGCAATTTGTTCGTTGTGACTAAGTCTTGACAAAGTTTCTGGAATACAGCTCAAAGTCGGAGGTCTTCTTCAGGCAGGAAGTCACGTGAGATCGGACGAGGCGGTCGTCTCTCGTCTGGCGTTTCGAACAACTGCCGTGTTCGTCGCTTCAACTTTCTGCTTATATGGACCTCCATCCAAAACCGGTGTCTAGCCTGAAGGGGCCTGGGGTTTTAGTAAATTCCCTATTCCCCGAAATAATAATAAAGTCATTTTACTGCCAGACCGCCTCCACTACTGACTTCATCGGAGGTCCTCATATCTTTATTCTTCGGTCGATGTGTTGACAATCCAGCATTTACCAGGTCCACTTCATAGTCAGTTGTCAACTTCAGCCATATGGTTTTTATAAGACAAATCATATGTTTCTGTTCCTCCCCTACCTTTATCCAAGGAAGAAAAAGAACAATCTCTCTGAATTTAATAAAATCTTGCGTCGCCTCTTGGTATGTTTATCGAGCTATTTCTTAACCCTTATAGTGTCTTATAGTGCCATACCTCCCCCTTACTCTTCCTGTCATTTACTTGTAAATGACACATAAATCCCCAAATCTAACAAAGCTGTTTATCACGCATCGTTTCGCTTCTACTATTTTATGCAGTACAAAGTCTTTCCTCTTTTTTATCATGCAATGTTTTTAAGAGTTCTTCTGTTATGTCATGCAATTCTTTTTTGTTTTGTTTTTTAAAATCTTTCTTATTCTTTTATTATCTTGCAATGTTTAATTATCGGGTTCTGGAGAGCAGAACTGGATGATACACTAGGGAAGTGGCTCCAAACTTTTTTCTCCGGGCCGCATTTTCGGAATGAAAATTTATTCGCACCTCATCAAATTTTATATGATAAAAAGTACAAAATAAAAAATAAAAGAAAAACAGAAAGTGGCTTAAAAGGAGATAAGCGCAGATTCGAAGTCAGAACATTATCATTGATACCTCTCTCTCCAATTTGCGGACCCTACTTAATACTTGATATAAAAGCAGGATTATACAATGTTAAGATCAGTCAAAAATTATTCATAACTATTTATACTGGGGCTCTGCAGGCAATTAAAAGTAATCCATAATAATATTGCAAATTTTGAAATCATATTTATTTTTGGCATATGAATTTTTGAAAATGTTTCTAAAACTTTGATTGTCTTTCAATCATTCCGTCTCACCTGCTATCCTCTTTCGCCTCATCGGTGAGGTGTGCCTCATCGTTTGGGAACCACTCCACTGGAGTACTGAAAGGTTTCCACTCAACTTATTTCCCTAAATTTGATCAAATGATCACATATAAGAATTCTTTTTGGAAGGGCTCCTTGGTCTGGCTGCATTTTTTGCAGTATCCCTAGGGATACCTCCCTACTCTCTCTGTCTATCTATCTATCTATCTATCTATCTATCTATCTATGTAACGCGTTTCGTCCTTCGAAATGACTCTTCCGACTAACGTTTTATTGATGAAATCACATATATGCCGGGAAAGGGGAACGAAATGAAATAAACGTTGGTTATAATTATACATCGAGTGAAACGATGAAGGTCCAGGGACGCTTAACTTTAAATTTAAATTTTATAGCAACCGATATTTCTAGATGCACACCCCAGCTGAACTCATTCAGGTTTTTACCCGGTTTTGATTCTGTTTTTATTGTTGCTTTTAAATATCCTTACTAGGGAGAAATCAAACAGAATTCTTTTGCATTTCGTCATTCAATTGTCCATCATTAGATTGATATTTAGGCTTTGCGTATGATATTCTCTCATATAAAAATATGCGACGCTGAAATATACTTCTCTTGACCAACAGTACACTCACCACTTAAAAACTGTCATGTTTTTTTATCGATATTGTTAGGGCCAATTACCGCAGCACAAAGTTAAAAAAAGAACAATTTGTCGTTTAAAAGACACCCGGGTTTACCACTTCACAATGAAAGGATTCAGTGCAGCGTCAAATACATGATTTCGGAACGATAACCAACAGTGACCAATGACAAACACCAACATGTAAATTAACCAGATTTAATTATAACTAGACAATATATAAAATCATATAGATATAAGAATGCGTTAAAAGATGGGTGTTATACATTTCTGTGTGGAAAGATGAATGCGTTATTTCATGAGGGCAAAAGTTGAAACTTAGCTTCAGTTTTTCTTCTGAAATAAAATAAGGTTTTATCTTTTCCTCTCTCTCTCTCTCTCTCTCTATTTCTTGTGATTCTCTTTGTCCGTTTAATTTCAAACGAGTTCGTTTGCTCAAGTAGCAGTGTCTTTTGATCTGTTCTTCTTACTTCAACATTGCGTTCATTCTCCTGTCATTTAGTCTCGGCACTGCAGTAATCGTACATTTGGTACATTTGCAGAATTCCTATTTCGGATCCTTAATCCTATTAAATATATCACGTATATGTTTTTTAGGTGACAGTCACGTTTCGCCATTCACCTATAGTCTTAATATAAGCTGCATGATCGTGTGATCTTTCTTGCCTGTCTGTAACAAGTGAAAGAGGAATTGTCCGAACAATTATCATCTCCGTTTAATTCTGTGTTGGAGTTTCATGCGAGTTGGGGTCGTCATTCATTCACTTCAATTCCGAAAGTCAATTTACATGAGAATTTAATATACAATCCATTTCCTTCGAGATTCTTCATTCGAGTTCTGTTGATCTTTCGTATCTGGTCACGTGATTCATGTATGAGAATCTATTTTTAGCTTTGGCTTCCACCTGTTGTCGTGGCCGTCAGTCTGACTTAATTGTCTTTTTGTTCGGCGACTGCTATTACATACGAAAAGAGTGAGGGAGATAGTTCACATATTATATTATTAGAGAGATGAGAAAGAGAGATAAGTGTATTTGTGTGGGTATGGGTGATGAGTAACGGAAAGCTGAAGCAATATTTACTAAGATTACCTTATACACAAACTACAAGTTTAATCCACCCAATGAGAATCTAACTCACTACTTAATAGTATTATTGTGTGAAATCAGCCTGTTTCCAATCATCTAATATCGAAGCGCAATTATTTCAAGTACAAAGAAAGTGTTATAAGATTTCCCTCATTTAGGCGAAAACTCATCTAACTCAGCTACTGGGGAAGTAGGGAGGAGTAGATGTGATAGGTAACAATAAAGTACAGAAGAACTCAAAACGGATCGCTGCATTTAAGTATTGCTTTAATATTTAAGCTTTTCTTGTAAAAGTTGAACGATAATACTTCTGCCGTCAGTTAATTTAAAGACAATTTGATGTACGTAGGTCCTTAATTTCTGTAAAAACAATTATTTTTATTTCAAGGCTAACTTAATTAATTTCGATTATTCTCAAATGTATTTCCAAGTTATAAAAACTGTTAACGTACAAAATCACGTAAAAAAATCTCCGAAAACAATCGCAGTAATGAAAATTTGGGAATCCCAAATTTCATGATTGCGAGTTCGAATCCAGCTCGAAATATTTTTAATTTTTGGAATCAGTCGGCCTGGTTCCCAAATGGTATGAAATGTTGAGCTACGGCCTCTAGGAGTAAAGTTTAAAAAGTATGACAGTGACACACTGACCTTGGTATTTATTATACAGAAGAAGGAGATGAGGTATATAGAGTTGTGTCCCATTGATCGAAAATGTGTGACACAGTGGCACACTGATATTGGTATTTATTATATAGAAGAAGAAGATGTGCTATTGAGAGTTGTGTCCCTTTGATTGAAAGAGTGTGTCACAGTGGCACACTGATATTGGCATTTATTATATAGATGATCTTGATATTAATTTGCATAAAGATATTGCTACTGAATTTTATCTAACGTGTAATGAATATCGTCACTTCTAAGTAGGACAAATATTTAAAAAAACATCAAAGACGCTACACACACACAGGAGTCATTCATTATACGTTATGCGGCATTTATATTATAACTATTGCAAAAGACGCCTTACATTGCCACATCTGAACAAGACAATGTAAGACACTGACAGGACTCAAAAGCCACATTTGGGTGGCTAGAATTTGAGGATGAATCAAGTGATGGCAGTGCTTAAAAACGAATCACAGCCATCATTTGATCGAACCAAAATTAATAAACGCGGCAACTTGTTCTCGAGATAAATTCGTCTATTAAGTTAGCGTACGCAGCGGTTTCAAATAAATAACAACCAAATCTGGTTTACAAATATTGCCGCAGTTCATATGGCAGCGCAAGTGTCTGTAGATGCAAACCACGGAACAGGATGTATGCTGGCCCGTGATAACGAATAACCATCAATCTGGCACCAAGATAATCTGTAAATACTTTCTGGAATGTCAGCATTTCCATAAAACCTCTGATCTTGGAAGTTGACATCCCTGGACTTGGAGCTAATCAATCCTCACTTTAGAACCATGAGCTTACGGCCATATCACGTTGAAACACCGGTTTCTGTACGATCACTGTAGTTAAGCAACGTTGATCCAGGTCAGTACCTAGATGGGTGACAGCTTGGAAATATCTAGTTTAGACGTGAGGATGGTGTAATGGATATTGACTCGGAATTGTTAATCGGAGAGTCGAGTTGGGTTCGTTATTTTCACTGACACGCAAATACCCTTGGGAAAGGTATGGATTCACTTTTCTCCTCCCGATGTGGGTCAGTTAGTAAGACTTGTATCACTAAATCATTATTCTCTCTAAAAATTCTTACAATCTAAAAATATTTTCTGGTTTTAAATAATTTTCAAAGGGTTGATAAGCCATAGAAAACGAATCAACCAATCAATATTTATAGCAATGAGAGAGTTAAGAATTGTTTACACAGTCTAATTAAATATTACTTATTTCCACGCTGCACAATCTTTCCCTACAGATACAACGTTGTTATGCTGTCACTACTCAGATGCTGTTTCCAAGGTAAATGTTCAGATGAACTCATTCTTTGGTTACATCAGTTCAGACTTTTGGTTACACCAGTTCAGACTGTTATACCTAGGACACTTCATGCTACTTACACCGAATCGAATCAACTACTTTTCATCCTTATTCCAAATATACCATTCAAACAGCTTTTCTAACCAAGAACTGCCAGTTTGTGAAACATACTTCCGCGTGAGTACTTAACTGAACACTTCAAGCTCTATCTATTCAAGTCAAGGGTCAATCTTTATCTGTCCTCCTTATCCTGGTGATGATCACTTCCTACCAACTCCTCTTTTACTTATATCACACACCTCATTCATCATAACCATTTTAACAGTAATCATCTACACTAGAATCTTAACCTCTTCAAGTCTTCAGCTCTTCAAGGGACAATCTTTATCTATCCTCCTTATCCTTATAATCTTAACTTCGTACCAGCTCTTACATTTCTATCATACACCTCATTCATCATCGCCATATCCACCGTGACCATTTACATTGAGTGGCTATCGATTGGGCGAAATCGAGTAAAAATAAAAAGTATCGGCTCTGAACACACCGCAGTTATCAATTAATTCAATATGAGATAGATTTAGCTTACCTAAAGCATTGAGCTCCTTACATCTGTGCGGTGCAAAAATTGCAGAGAAAGGTGCTACCAAGTGAGGTATAACGTGTTGCGGGTGTGGTTGTTTTCGACAGTTCGCTATTTTCACATGTCACTGATCTCCGGATACGGTCGGCTATTGGTTTAATGATGCATAACCGATAAGAAGTGATTATCAAAAATCCCCTCCACCCGGTATTCGAAAGACAAAAAGGCTATAGGTAAAAATAATAAAAGTTGATGTAAAAACTACCAACAATTTGCTGTCAAAAGTTACAATCACTCTGGTTGATGTCTACTAAGATTTTGAGTCAATGAGAAAGTTAACAGCAGAGTTAGACGTTTCAGCTTGTAGAGGGAAAGAGAGAAAGACAGCAAAAAAAAACATATCTGTGATTGACTGTGAACTCTGACTTATATAGGCTCTTGTCAGCAGGAGCGACATTGATGTCTGTTATTTTCCTACAAAGACTTTTTGTTAGGAAACTAGCTGGATCGTCTAAAAGTACTTACGATTAACTTTGTCTAGATTCTAAGCCCAGATATTTTAATAAGAATCAATGTAAATTGAAACGATAGTTCGTTGTGTAAACATTTCTTTGACTCGGCAGAATTTTGGTAAACATTAATTTTGTCAAAACTTCCTTGGGGTTGTGAAGCGGAGTGGGAAAATTCAGTCGTACTGAATTTACTAAATTTTGGGTTCAAATCTATGCAATGTCATCTTTATAATCATTTTATATTCCGAATGAAATGTTGTTTATCAGGATTTAAATTACGAATAGTCCAAAGTTCATATTCCTTTCGTGTTTTGTTCAAGTACATTCGACTATCAATAGTTGTATTTTATTTGTTTGTAATGTAGTTTTTAATATATGCATGAATTGCAATAAGTTTCGACAAGTCAATCTACAAGAGATTATGGTGCATGTGCGTTAAGAATGCAAGAATTTAAAGGTTTTTTTTTTCCGAGTAATAATATTAGAGATACAATAGATACAGAAAGCTCAATTACACACTGTCTTAAATATTGTTGCTACCCAAGCCAAGAGTTCCTAGTCTACTTTACTGTTTAATCTATAATCTATATATCGTCCTTCTTGCATTCCTTCCTTTTTGCCTTCCATCCTTCCTTCCTTCTTGCCTTACTTCCTTCTTTCTTTCCTTTCTTCCTTCCTTCCTTCCAACCTTTCTTTCTTTCCAAGCTTCCTTATTTGCGCCAGCTTCTTATACCCAAAGCCTTTCCTTTCAAACTCTTTCCTTCCTCCCTTTTAATTCCTTCCTTTTTCCCCCAGCTCATTTCCTTCCTTTTTTCCTTCTTTCTTTCCAAACCTTTTCCTTCATTAATCATTACAGCCTTCCTACCTTAATCCTTTCAGCCTTCCTACCTTAATTCATTCACCCTTCATTCCTTCTAAACGTTTTCCTTCCTATTTTCCTTCATTTCTTATAATTATTTCCTCCCTCCGTACTTTCTTTGTCTACACTTTCTGTCTTTCTCCCTTTCTTCCAAAAGTCTTCCTTAAATCTTTCCTTCTTGTTCCTTCCTTCCTTCCAAACGTCTTCGTACGTTAACCTTCCCTGTCTTCATTCCAAATTTCTAATTTTTTTCCTTCCTTCCTTCCTTCCTTCCTTCCTTCCTTCCTTCCTTCCTTCCTCCTTTCTGTCTGCATTTTTACTCCTTCCTTTCTTCTAAACTTTCTTCCATCTTTCCTTTCATTCGTTGCATAAGTAAAGGGAACAAGTTAGCCTGGAATTTGTACAATTACTCACTGACATGCATAGATATTTACTAAACTTAATTTGGGACAAGATTGTAATAGTGGAACACCTGTGAGAATAGTTTTTTTAAACAAATGTTTTGCAATAATTTTCATCCTATACAAGAGCCACTCGAGGTAGAGGGTTACAGAGAAAAAGTCACAGTTTATGGGGATATGTGAAGAAAATAACATATAACCCAAGACTTGAACAGGTTAAGATTGTAGTGATCGGGGAAACATCCTCATGGGAATTAGTTCCACAAAGCAGCGGATCACGAGAAGAAGCTGCTCGAGTGGATCTTGCATCTCACCCGTGGAATACGAAGGGAATGAAGGTGGTTCGCTACAATGCGTGAAGGTTAGAACTATGTAGTGCGTCTGAACACTTTACATGAAAATAGCAATAGAATAGCGAGAGGCTTGCAACGTTTTGTCTGTGGGAAAGTGGTTGTAAGGTGGAAGATAATTTATTACACACAAGCAGACGCTTTTGCACTCTGTCGAGCCTATAAAGTGAAGACTGGTCAGATTCTGTGCATATATGACAACAGTACCCCATTTTAAGTCTGGTGTAGTTCTTGTAAAGATAGAGGCTAACTAGAAGAGTCGGTTACTTACTACAGCGGTACAAGGAACTGACCATCTCAAGGCACGGAGCCAGCCACCCTGAGAGGATACCCGTACATCACGAGAGGCGAACAGTCTTGAAGGAAGGAACGAAAGAAAGAAAGAAAGAAAGAAGGAAGGTGCTTGTAAAAAATAAAGATAAATCTGGAAGGATGGTTGAAATGAAAGAAGAACGGTTGGAAGGGAAGAATGAATCAAAGGAAGATAGGAAGGAAGAAATTGACAAACTAAAAGTTATACAGGGATCGATGGGTAAATTGTCGTCATTTTATATTTTTAATTTCGTTCATGCGCGTTGTTTGTTTTGATTTTATCGACTGTACAGTATAGCAGGGTCAGTTGGGCACCGTCTGTGAGATAAAGAGCACCATGACACAATTCACTCCGCTAAAAATTTTGAAATGTTTGGGTGTCAGTCTGATCAACAACACACAAAAAAAATCCTCTTCTGTTTTTTTTTTTTTTTCAGTTTGGCCTTGTATCATACTAATATAAAATCTGTAAATAATGTGAAAAAGTATGAAAAAAAATTTAAAAAAAACGAAAGAGACAATAAGAAATAAGAGACTGAAACCGATGCTAGTCCTTTTTCTGTAATGTGTGTTTGACTTAATCTACTACGATAAGCGGTCTGGACGTGTCCCGCTTACAAAACTAATTTTCCCTGACGAACAATGCTATAAGTCCATTGTCGACATGAAAGTGTTCTCTTCCCCGGAGCTCGACTTGATACTGACACCTGAGTAAACTACAGAAAGTGGCAACGGATTTTCCTATCTTAGCGTCCCAGGTAACGAGAAAGAAAAAGGAGATAAAAAAGAGAATTATATTAAACCTAAAAAGACTCCTTGAAGTCCAGACATTTTGTCGTCTCGAAGGTGTTAACTTGGTTCCAACTTGATCTGATTCAAAACTAATTAAGATTTTAGAAAGACTAGTTCAAGTGACCTTGATTACCGATGATTATATTGACAGCAAACCAATAAGAAATAAAAACAGAAGAAAAATGTTTAAAAACAAAGAATGGAATGCTCAATTGTTATGTAATATTAATCCACCTTTTGTCGTTGGCGGAACACGTTGCCAAGTATTGGAAGGGCACATCGACATTTTCTTTTGTGTGAAATGAGTCCTATGTTGGATCTGAAGAGATTACCACAGCCACCGCGTGGTAAGGGAGGAGTGATCACAGGATGGAATGCTCTGGTTTTTCATTGGGCTCTCTTTGTCTCTTCTTTTTGTCTTTTGGTGTTTTCGAAGCATGTTTTTTTATGGACTGCTCTTCTCCAATTGGTTCTATATAGCAGTGAATACTGGATAATTTACTGACAGATGAAAAAGAAATTTGAGGCAACTGAAACGTGGTTCTACAGAATACTATGCAATGAGCATATAAACAGTAAGAAAGTTTTAAGGAAAATGGAAACAAATAGAACACTTATGTTTAAATCAAAAAGTGACAGTTGAAATTTTGGGGATACATAATGAGGAAAGAAAAATTTGACATTCACAAAACATATCGAAGGCAAGAAGGACAGAAGGAAACTGTGCAAATGGTTGAGAGAATAGTGAAGGGGAATAATAAAAAGATAAATATTACCAAGAGCTACAAAGCATCAAAACTGCATGGGAGCAGTTTTCATATTCGAACATAATTAATGAACGAGAAATTATAGTTTTTACATTGAATCGTTGCAAACAGTAATCGTAAAGATGAAATATATTTTACGTAATAGAAAAGAAGTAATCATAGTCAATTTCACTATAATTATAAGGAGCAAAAATTTTTATGTTCAAACTTTAGCCTAGGTTTAAAGGATATGAATATCAAATTTATGAGAAGCTTCGTTGTGCATAATGAACATATATATCTCTATAAAATATATATATATATATATATATATATATATATATATATATATATATATATATATATATATTATTAAGATGTTACATACTTTATAATAAATAACTATTGCTCAACTCTTGATATTGAGATCTCTTTTAAATTAATGCTATGAACATTTGAATTTGAATTTATATTCTTTTAGTTCTCGTTACATTTGAATATATATATATATATATATATATATATATATATATATATATATATATATATATATATATATATATATATATATAGATGAGTTGTTGTAACTATTTACATCATTCGGACTGTTGTCCTTTATTTTGTCCACTGGGATAGATTGTTTTAATTCCACATGCCATACCTTATTTCGGGGTGCGGGGGTATTAGTTTCAGTTAATTCCCTTCAGTAACTAAACTCTCCAAGATTTTGTTGCCTTTGTTTTGGCCAGGTATTGAACTCAGAACTCTTTATCACTTTTTTCCTTCAACTAACGCTTTTATACACTGGGTCATATAGGCAACAATGATTGAATTTGTGGAACTTATAAATTTCTCAGAACATTTTCTTCACAGAACTCATATTAAAATTTTTCGTTATTGTTCTAGAAAACGGGGAAAAAATTCACCTAAAAGACAAGAATAACTTGAAAAGGGAAGCCAACCACGATCATTAATCATTAATCTGATGATCGTTGTTTTGGCATGAAACAGTTACAGGCCGTTGTCTCTAGACGAATTTATGATTGTTTTTAGAATAGCTCTGTCTTGGTTTAGTTTGGCATTGAGCGTTTGTTTTTGCTATAGACACTGAGCACTTTTTTTCTTTCTGCTTGATGTAGGTGACTGTTTCTTTTTTTTCTGGCAAGCTTAGTATCGGAAGACTTTATGTTTGTACATCCCCTTAGCTTCTTGGCTCGTTTATGCGCTCTGTATTTCATATATATATATATATATATATATAAACAAAAAACAATAATCCCCGTATAAAATATAGTGTGCTCCATCATTGCGATAAACCAATATATATAATAAAATTTAAATTATGTAACGGTCAGCGCCTGAAGATTACGTTGTGCATGAAACTCCGAGTCATGCTACGAAGGAGGAAAAATACATATTTATTAAATATATATAATAATAATAGCTGGCCACTCGTATTCGAGGATACCTGTCTACTAGGGCGGCAAGACAATCCCAATTGTAGACACCCGCTCAGGCGCATTTGTGTTTGTTCAACATCCACATAGCCCACCTGTTGTTTATACTGCAACTATGTTGAGCAGATCTGGGAGAAAGCGTGTTATCTAGCGCGATCAACAATCTGAACAAAGCCAACACGGTGAAACCCTCGGTCACGATGACTTGTGAATTTGTTCTGGCACAGCCATCAACGGCCTCCAAGGGTTTTGTCTACCCAATTTTCTTCACAACAAATCGACCATGGTGAGATTATAACCCGATTCTCATGGCCAGAAAAAAAACGTTCTTACCACTCGGCCCATATTTCTGGTTGTTTTTAAAATTGTTCTGTTTTGGTTTCGTTTGACATTTCGTGTTTCTTTATACTACATACATTGAGCACATTTTCCCCCTTAAGGTAAGTTACTGTTTCTGTTTTTTTCTAGTAAGCTTTGTATAGATCGACAGGCTAATACTGTTGAATATTATGAATCCACTTCCCCGCAATTATTTGTTAAATAGTAGGACTTGTATCTGGAAAATGATTATTTATAAAAAATTATAAATGTAATATTCACTCGCCCAACAAAAGTTTGATAAGCCGAAAAAACAAAAAATATATATAGGTCGAGTTTGGTTTTGTTCTATTGTTTCACCTTTTAGTTGGTTTATATATATATATATATATATATATATATATATATATATATATATATATATATAGTCCGAATAATGACGTTTTATCAAAAACAAGATAGAAGTATAACATTAAAAAAAAAGATTAACGACAATTAAAAAACTGATGTTTCATGTTTGCCCACCTTTGTCTCTTCGTTTCTGACTAAAGAAACTTTTTTTTTTAGATCGAGCCATGCACTAGTCGTCTGTTTTTGTTTGCTGTAGGACGACACAAGATTTACTTTCATCAAACAAAAAAAACAAAAACAAACGAAA